TGCGTCTATGCATATATATATATATAATATATTTGCCATTTCATCATATTTAAGAACCAGCATGAAAATGTGTATGGAAAGTGTCTGATGTTCCAACGAGGCGCAATTGCTTAAGCCGAGGCTACTCACCTAGGATATACGCAAAAAGAGCGCTTTTCGTTCTTACCTTGAATCATAGATTGTGCTTACTTTGTATGTAATAAAAGAATATTATACCTAAATAAATAACTATATACGGATATACAAGTGAAATTTTCACACCATTTGACAAATTGGATGTTTAACCTGTCAAATCCCGCCGAGGCATTCTCAAATACTCAGGTCTTAGTCATTTCAGACCTATCAGGAACTATTTGCGGTCAGAGACTTTGGGAAAGATAACGCTCATCAGCCCTGAATAATATGGCTGCACTGGAGATTTTCCACCTCTTACTTACCACGAAGAAAAACGTTCTGGGCGACTGGGTGACTATCTTGTGTAGCGTAATAAATAGATTTATAACCGAAGCCCCGATTTTATGTTAAGTTTACTCCTACGATTTAACTAATACCTTGTGCATTTTTGGTTTGTATTTAGTGTACTCATAGAAATGACCGTATTGTAATTTGATTAAATCAGGTTTTCATCTGCAATATGGTCCTTTCTACGATTGATCTATAGATTCGATATCGAACTCATGCGAGCCACTTATTATTGATGTTGTATTTTGACCACTCCTTGGTCATGAAGCCTGTTTGGAAGTTGGTGCAACATATGTGATTAATGTGAAGTACTTTTTAAGTATCATTGAATAACTTTTAGAGCCACAAGCCTGCATCAGTTGGGTTTGGATAGCAATTGCATGTTTATTGTGCCCTACTTTACAAGTTGCCCAAAACGTTTTCCTTTTCTCACTGGAATGCTTCTGACATAATCAGCTAACTCCAGGTATACATCTCTGTGATCAGTTTCAGATTTATTCGCCTGTTACGAACAGAAAAATTACGCGGAACATGTGACAATTAGTGTGAATTTTTTCGAAATCTATTGCAACAAGGTGAGCTTTGACTGGTTTCTGATGATCGGGGTAAATTGTCCTACGCGATAAGATAGCACAAGTTGTGCATGCCAAGAGAAACTATGCTAAGCCCCTTAATTATACTGAGATTGACCTAAAATTAACTGAGGCAGCACCTGTCTGTCTGTAATCTTGCATTAATATTTGAAGATTTAACACGGATTTCCCTTAGTTTAGGACACCTCATAGAAAATACTGCTTCAAAATTCTTTGACAATGATGCCTGAGTTTTCGACTGGACGATTTAGAAAATCTCAGTATCACTGAATGAATTAGAAAGAGAAGAAATGGACGTGCTATTGTTCAGTGATCTATTTCAGACCGATTCGTCACAGAATTAGTTTTGATGAAGGCGGAAGTTAGTATTTAAAATTCTCTAGGTAAATCACCGGGGTCAACAGCTCTGAATTTACTAATCTTTTGTTATGTGCATTCCACAAACCGTTTATATTTAGTTTAAATTCTGATTGAGACAATGAAACTATCAAATTAGGGCATATTTACTTTCATGAGTGAAATGGATGAGTTGTTTCGTTTAGATGTGAAGTTCTTCCTATACAGAACAAATAAAGCGTGAACGAAAATGCTAAGAAGCACTGGACAGCCGCTTTAATCTGGTTCAGTCTTATAAGCGGTGCATATCTCCCGACTTAACTGGGGATCGAACCTGTGAGATTGCGGCTTATCATTAGTGAACAGCAGGTCTTCGTGATCACGGATTTTAACCATGTTAAAGTGGTAAAAATTTCAAAAAAGTATTTGTATCTATATCAAAATACAGGATTACTATGAAAAGCGGTCTTATCAGCTACTCGGTACTGAGTGCGCAGTACGCGTGCCTGTGAGATCCGGGGTTTGATTCCTATTTGGGTAAATGAAATTGCACTGCCGATGACAAATAATCAGATAGAACCGACTGTGAAATGCTTCATAGCTTTTCAATTTTTATTTGATATTTATACGAAGATATTTACATATTCTGTTTTTCTGAACTATAAAACGCAGCTTTCAATCGATTGGAAAGGATCAAACAATAATGTTTTACCTTCACTCACTTAATTTCAATATCTGTATCTTTTTATCATCTGTTTTCAAAAACGGCTGAAATTGATGCCTTTTGTCTTTCACAATGATGATAAATATAATTCAGCGAATAAAAGTATTTCCGATTCATTCAACAGTGGACTTAGCATTAAATGGCCAGTGACTGCAAACGTCCGTTCTTCATATTTCACTGAAATGAGAAACAGTACGCTTATTGTAATTGCTATTCAACAGTAGTTTTGAAAATGTCTAATAACTCATTTTTTAAAAGAATGATTAACGTAATTGGTACGGTTCGCTTTTTATTGTTTAACTCACCAGATTTTTGCTGAATGAACGAAGCCCCAAAACCATGTGTGTAGCATCAAATAAAAGTGAAAATCCCCTGCGGTTTCTTATCTTCACTATTCTGCAGTATATTCTGCTGTATTTCTTTCTGGCATTGTTATTCATGTTTGTGAATTTTATTTTCTGAACTTTATTTTTCGCCTTCTTCTGTGGTGCATGTTTATTGAACAGACTCTTGAACTGCTTTGTGCGAAAGTATAAATGGGGCTGAGTGTTACACCTTGTTTTATTATGACCTCAGTTTCAATTGCACGCTGTTTGTTGAAGTAATGGTTGCTATCGGTGATATCCAACTTGTTTCGGCTGTAAAGCTCTATAGTAATCTTGCTTGAACTTTTGAAGCGTGCAGAAAGTTTCAATCAGGCATTTCGAATTACTCATTTTGCTACCTATACTTTTATTACCACAAATATTTTCTGTGATCATCTGTTGTATTTTGATTGTATAGTGATTCAAGCTCACTGTAATAGTTAGGATTGTTTAAATTATTTGTAATTATTGTCAAAATAATAACATAAGATTATTTTTGGATCTACTTGCTACTCGATAATTTTGGGCTACACGTTGCTATGAAGTTTGGTCATCGCTATTCAGTACGGGCGAAGAGTAATTTGATTGAACGGACATATGGTCAAGGTCTCTTGGTTTCGCTCGGACCTGGAATATCGCGTTTCGATTGTTACATGTGATTGAGAGGATGGGAGTAATTCAAATACGTCTGCTTACAAACTCATCGTTGACAAGATTTGACACCCATTCTGTCTATCAGGTTCAATGATCTTATCGGTTCTGCCCGGCTCATTTTGATAATACTTTTTGGTATACTTCATTATCGTTTATCTTGAGCGTTGCAACTTGTTAATGTTCGTTTCCCTTATTATGGAACACTTGTTTTGTAGCATGGTACACAAACATCTCAACTGACTAATTGAAATTCATAAAATGTTTGCAATTCCCTATTAAAATCACACATCGTTTTACACCGTGTTTTGGTCTGGCGTACAGGAATCATTTTGGAGATTTTCATTCCACCTCTGAGGTAGATAATTTATTGTCAGCTATACTGAATAAGTCAGTTAGATCATTTTTCGTCCATAAATTGATGGCATTTGTTGGCTTCTAGTTTGAAAGAAAGTCTGTGAAGATCATTCCATAATGCACAGGTCATCTTTGTGTAACACGATGAAAGGAAATGGAAGAATATCGGCCTTTGACTGGAACAAACCTCCGGTTCCAAACGAGATTTTGCTTAATAACAATGATAAGTCCCGAGGACCTCAATATCACGATGAAATTTTGGATGATTTGTGTCGAATTCAAAATTGACCATACCGATTTCACTATGAAAGATAACGAATAACGAAATTGCCTGTTAGAAATCTTGTGCCAATAGTACTGACGCCAGTGGGTATCTAACCCTGTGAAATTATGACGTATATTTTGCGCTATTGAAAACGAGATTAAAGCTACGGTTCTTATCCCTGATCACCAATGTTCATCCAAACACTTCGATGCACTTGTCAGGATTGAATGATTGCCTTTTTCCGGATGATATCACAGGTGAATGACCTATTGAATTCAAAGCGTTCGCTTCGTGTAATGGAAGATTCTTTTGGATCAGTTCAACTACTCGGTTTGAGAGAATATTTGGTGGAGGATGTGCAAACCACTCTATCATTGCTGAAGCACGGATATCAGTTAAGAACGAACGGCAAGACCTTGGCCAACGAGAATTCCAGTCGATCTCATGCCATATTTCAGGTAACATTTGGGAGCAAAACGAAGTGTTTTTTTTTGAAAAGCAACAGTAATGCTTTACATCTTCTATGATAAAACAGTCGCCGTAAATGTAAGATCTTTTGCCTGGTGTGAATGAATCTTCGGTGAGCCAATGGCTTCAACCAAAGCTTCCATATACCAATCTATTCTAAAACAGATTTATCGAGATTGGGCTATCAAGCTTGACTCTCTGGTTTCAGGATTTATAGCTGTAAGATAGAGAAGAAAAGAACCCATCGTGCTACCCTCAAAGATTGATGGATACGAAGTGGGGAGGTGAGGAGATGACAAAGGATTACTTTGAGTGAGGTGGAAATAGTGAGTGAAAGTGGTTGCAAAATTTACGGAAGTGTAATCTTTAGGAATCAGCTTTTTCACCAATTCAGTATATAAGGTAAATGTACTCAAAATATAACCATAGTGGGAAATAATTGTTATTATTGCCTTGAAACAGTTTGTTTGACNGTTTGACATAATAGTCTATCTTGGGATCGTAATTGTGTGGTGTAACTTTACACCATGAAACAGTTTAACATCGTGAACTATCCAAAGGAGTATAATCTTCCCAATCAAGCAGTATATTTCAACCACAGCGAAAGTTTATGTAAATTTTATAATTTTGAAGTGACTGCATTTGTTTCAAATATAGTTGTGCAAATACACGCATTCTGCACTTTTCACTGCACTGCACTAACCTATCCTTTGTGCAGCTTAAAATGACTTATAAATTTGAACTCACTACATATTATGGTAAAATCGATTAACGGGGTTTATTTCAATAAAGCTGTATTATGGTTTGTTTCTTCATCATTTTCAGATGATTAAATCACATTTGCAGATACGCTCTTCACAATATTTATTCTTTCACTATGGTCACCATGTGAAAATGTCTGAAATATAATGGAATTGTTAAATAAGAAAATTACGTGGTTTATTGGATTAGTTGTAACGAGGGGAAAAACTGATCACCATTCTACGAGGGGTGATGAAGTAAATGTGATTGTCAGTCTCATGATTTACGAACAGTTTGAAGTCGTCTATGTAAGTTTATGGTATTAATCAATATCACATGATAACCATAGAATACAATAATACACATGCGTACCGCAGTCTATGTGATCATTGATATGTGGTCCGTAAATAACAGAATCATAGGCGGAGAAAGAATTCGGTCAAAATTGCTCACCAAACACATTTGTTACCAAGTTAGCGCCAGACTAATAAGCCATTGACTCTGTTTACACAGTTTGAGATGGTAATTTTGAATGGTTAGTGCCTCGGCGTACTTCAGAACCTTGGTGTTGTTTGTGTTGTAGAGGATTCTGAACGCGTCGCGCAGCATGACACAGTGTTTCATTTCGACCAGGTGTTGTCTGGTCGACGAAGTGAGTTTCCTAAAGGTCAT